AGAAGGTGTTTCTGAGTTGATATAACTTGTGAGCCTGATCCCTTTTGTTTAATGTAGAATAAAATATGGTTAAATCAAACATCTGTTCTTATTCTTGTATTTTTTTCAATGGTCTCCGTGTAAATATTTCCATTGTTAACAGTTTCCCTTGTTTCAATGATTTTAGTTCGAAGAACGGTTGTTTTGTCGTTATACTATTTGTTTTCTTGTTTTCTTTCTACTTCACTCTTAGTGAAATTCTCAAGTGAACTCATCTGTGAGCCTAATTGTACATGTGTTACTATACTGACCGAAAAACGTCTCAACCCCACAGAGTGCAAATTGTTATTTTCAGTGTAACATTTGACCATAAAACCAAAATGACTTTTTATACTCTGCCTAAATTAAAAATCCGAATGCTATTGTTGGAATTCATACGACGTCTTCAATTTCATGTTTATCATTTCATTTAACGAAATTGACCTAATAAAAGTCCATTCCTTCTGAAAACCTTTCAATATTCTGGTCCAATTCTTTCATCGTAGTTTACCGACTTGCAAAACGTATCTATAACGATATTTAAAAAAAAATAACTTTAAAGGTTTAAGGTCTGTTTTCTCAATTTGCTAAGCACCATGAGCTGTCACCATAGATGAACTACGGTAACAGAGATATAAATTCACCGCAAGATGGGGTATTTTTTTTAACCTTGTTCCTGTTAAAATAGGTGACTTCTCTATAAATAGGGATAAAGGGTTAAAATAATTAAATTATACCGACGTTGTGTGCGTGGTTTGTCGAGCTAAGACATTCAAAAATCATAAATCTTTAAACAGCATCTAACTCCATATGGTATCATGCGTTACTTCTCAAAGCAGTGACTGTAGTCAATCAATCCTTTATATCACGCATATTATCTGTACATACTAGGCTACGGTGCTATAAATATACACAGGGCAATCCAATATAAAACCAACATAGCAAGCCATCAACTCCTTAACACTATCTATTGTGTGTAGCATAGATGTCCCTCACAATATAAATGTACAAACATGTTAAGCAGTCAAATAGCAATATTTAAGATGATATCTAAAAGACATCCGGTTTGATTTGTGCGTCATCGTTGGGCGTTGGGTAATTATCTTTGCCCTTTTTGTTAACACTGTGATGACCTTTGAGTATAATAGATCAGAATAAAAAAACAATGAGTCAGATTCGTGTCATCCTCCCAATTTTGATTGGAAACACTGACTTTTCTCTCTTGGAGAGAGCTGGTTGTTTTCACTCTCTGAGCCAAACAGTTTGTTTTTGTAAGTAGAAACTTCATCTGATGTGCGAGTTCTCTGTATTTTCTGTCAGTTTCCGGTGATCCTTGATTAATTGGTCCCCGTAAACAATTAAACAATTGAGACACGCAGTCACAATCTTTAGCACTTTCTAAATTATATCAATGAAGCAATTTGATATTAATTGAGTTCTAAAACATATCCAAGACAGCCATGAAAAGTAACAGTTCTGTCAATGTTAGCCTGTAGATCAGAGTGTTGTCTCTGACCAGTCTAAGATATGAGTGCAAACTGGTATTAATATCAGATGCCTCTATCAATGGCAGATCATCTCTAAAACCACAATCAACGACTACATTGTCGTCTTGCTCCAACCATGTGAGCTTGTCTATGATGGTTTTGTAATTATTGCATCATTTTGGCTTCCAGAGAATTATCCCACTGTGTCCAAAATGTTGCCATCAGGTAGAGCTATGCTTTTAACTTAAGATAGTTACGCTCCTTCTGGCCACCGTAAGACATTCGCTGAAGCTTATGGTCAGCACTTTTTTTAATATAAATATATGTACCATCTCCTAAGACATTCACTTTGTCTCCAAAGAATGTTTCTGATAATGAAGTATTGTGTGAAAGTATATGTTCCCTTACCAAATGGTAAGGACCACTTGAACTATAGATTTATTCAATGCTTGTACTACAGAATGAAAGGTTTTTGAAAAACCAGGCAGGGAAATGCCAAAAAGAGCGGAACACTTAATTACAATATATATCAGTTATCATCATAACCCTAAACAGTAAAAGAGCATTTTTTGTAGTTTTTGTCTATACTGAAAAAGAGTGAAGGCTGTTAGATTCTTTGATGAGATGTACGACACTTTTAAGAGGTCATCAATTATTTCAGATGACCTACTTTATAATTGAGAATTCAAAGACTCTCTTTATAGTATAACCTGTGTACAGGGGTTCAGGTCATTGCCATAAGAAGAAATTAGAATACACGTGATGACTCAGAACACCATAATTTGTGTGTGAAAGTTAATTGATGCCTCCTGGCACGTTTTCGCAGAATGGTGGATTTGCTTCCCTTCGAATTAAAATTGTTGAAACAAAGACAATATGTTTGATGTGAACAGGACCCGTAAAACAGGTCCTTGATTGTTGAGAGAGAAAAACTTCTAGTAGTTTCATCTTCAAAACGTTCTGTTCAAGATTCTCTTTTGCGCAGATACAGTACCTTATGTAGCACTTCGGACAAATACTATTTGAGCAATCTATGCCACTTTTAGTCAGTATATCCAAAAGCCATTTATATTATGGATCGTGTACGAGATTTCGCGAAGATACGATGGCGACCTTCACCAATTCATTTACTCTTCATTATGAGATGAATATTAACAAATGAGTATGAAATATCCCCTGAAAGCAATGTAAGAGCGAAAGCCTGATGATAAAATGTATACGAACAGATTCTAAAAAGGGACAAGGATATTACATTTGATCTTAAAATTGATTGGTAACAAAAACTTTATCAATCACGCCAAGTGATGAAGCATATTTGGATTCTTTTGTAACCTAACATGCTCTGAAAGATTTATTGTAGGCTTGCAACGAATTTCATAACCAATTACCTGTAATCAGGTACATTGCCTTTTGGTAGACGACAGGGGGGTGTCTTATGCCCTCACCTTTTTGGGTAAACACAGGGTACTTTGTTGTGCGAAATGCATACTTTCTACCACTTTTTTAAACTGAATGTTTGCATACATATTTGAAATAATACCACTTATTCATACTTTGAAAGTATTTGGTATACAACAATAATAAGAATGAACAATCCTATAATTTACAATAATTTTTTCACAAAATGTTCGATGAAACTCACACTCTTTATGATTGATATATTATTAAAGCACTACATGAAAGAAAATGTTCTTTCCTAAGTATTACGATGCAAGCATTACGCGTTTCTTTTTAGAAAAATACTTTTTTATACCATTTTCCCACCACTATGCTGTAATTAGGTTAATCAATAATTTAAATAATTAGTAGAATGATTCAAAGAAATAACATCAGATGTATAAATGATTGAAAAGAGTTAGAACAGCATCATAAATCTCGTAGCACTTCTGAAACCAAAGTTATGAGGGGGAAGGCTCCTATGTAATTTTAATATAGCTGGAAAGAGTCCCTTGTATGAAATAGTTTTACAAATCCCCTTCCACGCTGTTATTATTGTTGTATGCTTCATGCACGATAAGATTGCATTAATAATGCTTTTTGACGAGCGTTGAATTTGCTTTGTGTGAGTAAGATTACGTTTCAACGAATGTAGAAATTCTGATGGAAGGAAAAACAGTTTGAAAAAAAAGAAGATCATTTAATGAAAATCGCATGCTTTAACACTCAATGTTGTGACTCATTAAATTATGGCATCAGACCACATCATTCAAAAATAGAAACCGACATTCATGTTGAGAAAAAATGAGAGGTCATTCTATAGTGCATTCGAGTCAAAATGAAATGGAGTCGTGACGAAAAACGACACGAAATTTTGAGTTTGCTTCAGTTTGTTCAAAGATCAGTCTCGGAAGGAAGTTTACAACACGTAAGTATTGCATTCACAAGAAATATTGAACAGTACATACGCTTTAGTTGACCATTTGAACACAAGTCTTTAGTATTAGTTTTTTTCTGAATTCAGATTCAAACTACATGATACTACTGCAACCTTCAGGACTCAGTTTACCAAACTTCGTTAACTAACTGAAGAATATCATTTAAAAAAGAAAAGAAAAAAAGATGAATCAATTTTGCCTTCAATTTATTTTTTTAATTTTGAAGATATATACCTAAGTTTGAATTTCGATAATGAATAAAATAAAATATCAGTGATTCAAATTTTAAGCTAAGGAAGTTTGATATTCTTTGATCCAGTACATATAGTACATATAAAATACAAAGTGAAACCTGTCTAGGCCGACCGTCAGCGGTTACACAGAAGCGTGATATAAATTCAGATTACACAGGTTCTCTATAATAAAGAACTGTAAAAAAAAGTTGGACCTAGTTAAAGGTACAACTCCAACGATTTTTCGATTAAACGAGATCCGGGTAGACAGATTACACTTAATTTATTATTCCATCAAAAATGTATCATGTATATTAAAATAATTACATTGGACATGAAATAAATAATAGCTATAATATTCCTCAGTTATTGAGATGGGGACAAAGTATCAACAAATCTTCACAATTCCTTACTCATTTTGTCCAACTCACTAAAAAAATTGAATTTAAGAATATCAACTTAATACCACTTAGAACTTGTATAAACGAATATATTTGTAGCATAACATTTTTGCAAAACAAATCGTAGATGGAAATGTACCTCTTGAAATGATATTTTCATAAATATAAGTTGCATTTTTGACAATTAGCGAGCTGAATAAATAAGAAAAAAAGTAATCCAATATAAATTGAAATATCGAAGGCATCCTTCAAATATCAGAACACAAGAACTTAAACAAAAAACTCTTTTTTCTTCTTCTCTCAAATGTAACCCGCTCTGATCAAGACAACATATCCCCTTGATGGTACTTGCATGTTTAAAAGCTAGAATACAGGTATAATTAATTTTCTCTCTATATATATTTATAGTCATCTAGATGATAAGTGGGGTCCTCGATAAGCTTAAACAGTAACAAACAAACAAACGTTGACGTACTACTAACTTACCGGTAGGTTCGAATCTGCCTGACCTATGTCCAATTTGCCATTGCGAAGTCTTTCCACCAGCGTTTGATACAAAGATGACCTTTTCCCATTTAAACATCCATAGCTATTACAGAAAAGTCGCTTTCGCAGTTCAACTGTCTCGATTTCATCTTGTGCAGGGTCTGGTTGTCTCAGAGGAGCACCGATTGACCTTTTCCCATTTGCACATCCAAAGAACCCATTACAGAATGGTCGCTTCTGAACGGGTGGCTCTTCCGGAAGTAGTCTTTGTTGTTTCATTGGCACTGTGCGCTTGCCCCCACGACAACCACGGAAACCATTACAGAAGACCCGTTTGCTTAGCCGATCTTCTGGTTGGAGTCTACGAATCAGGTCGGAGACGGCCTGCTCACTGTTGTCCAAATCTGTGTTGTCCAAAGGGTAGTAGGATTCACGGTCATTTTCTGACAGAATCTGGAAAGAAAATGATTATTCACATTAAAGAACTATATGTTACGAACAACCCTGTTATGTGCACAACAGTCAGAGACGTTTAATGTGATCCCTGCAGAATCGGTGCTTTTGGTCTTTAATCTCTCTTGAGGAAATCAGAAACGACTAAAACTGTTGGAACTACCTCCACTCTGCCTGTATTAACACTGTTGGAACTACCTCCTCTCTGCCTGTATTAACACTGTTAGAACTACCTTCTCTCTGCCTGTAATAACAATGTTAAAACTACCTCCTCTTTGCCTGTAATAACAATGTTAGAACTACCTCCTCTCTGCCTGTAAAAACACTGTTAGAACTACCTTCTCTCTGCCTGTATTAACATTGTTAGAACTACCTCCTCTCTGCCTGTATCAACAATGTTTGAACTACCTCCTCTCTGCCTGTATTAACACTGTTAGAACTACCTTCTATCTGCCTGTAATAACAATGTTAAAACTACCTCCTCTTTGCCTGTAATAACAATGTTAGAACTACCTCCTATCTGCATGTAATAACACTGTTATAACTACCTCCTCTCTGCCGGTATTAACACTGTTAGAACTACATTCTCTCTGCCTGTATTAACATTGTTAGAACTACCTCCTCTCTGCCTTTATTAACAATATTAGAACTACCTCAACTTTGCCTGTAATAACAATGTCAGAACTACCTCCTCTCTGCTTGTATTAACACTGTTAGAACTACCTCCTCTCTGCCTGTATTAACACTGTAGGAACTACCTCCTCTCTGCCTGTATTAACACTGTTAGAACTACCTTCTCTCTGCCTGTAATAACAATGTTAAAATTACCTCCTCTCTGCCTGTAATAACAATGTTAGAACTACCGCCTCTCTGCCTGTATTAACACTGTTAGAACAACCTCCACTCTGCCTGTATTAACACTGTTAGAACTACCTCCTCTCTGGCTGAATTAACACTGTAGGAACTACCTCCTCTCTGCCTGTATTAAAACTGTAGGAACTACCTCCTCTCTGCCTGTATTAACACTGTAGGAACTACCTCTCTCTGCCTGTATTAACACTGTAAGAACTAACTCTTCTATGCCTGAATTAACACTGTTAGAACTACCTCCACTATGCCTGTATTAACACTGTTAGAACTACCTCCTCTCTGCCTGTATTAACACTGTTAGAACTACCTGCTCTATGCCTGTATTAACACTTTTAGAACTACCTCCAATCTGCCTGTATTAACACTGTTAGAACTACCTCCTCTCTGCCTGTATTAACACTGTTAGAACTACCTCCTCTCTGCCTGTATTAACACTGTTAGAACTACCTCCTCTCTGCCTGTATTAACACTGTTAGAACTACCTCCTCTCTGCCTGTATTAACACTGTTAGAACTACCTCCTCTCTGCCTGTATTAACACTGTTAGAACTACCTCCTCTCTGCCTGTATTAACACTGTTAGAACTACCTCCTCTCTGCCTGTATTAACACTGTTAGAACTACCTCCTCTCTGCCTGTATTAACACTGTTAGAACTACCTCCTCTCTGCCTGTATTAACACTGTTAGAACTACCTCCTCTCTGCCTGTATTAACACTGTTAGAACTACCTCCTCTCTGCCTGTATTAACACTGTTAGAACTACCTCCTCTCTGCCTGTATTAACACTGTTAGAACTACCTCCTCTCTGCCTGTATTAACACTGTTAGAACTACCTCCTCTCTGCCTGTATTAACACTGTTAGAACTACCTCCTCTCTGCCTGTATTAACACTGTTAGAACTACCTCCTCTCTGCCTGTATTAACACTGTTAGAACTACCTCCTCTCTGCCTGTATTAACACTGTTAGAACTACCTCCTCTCTGCCTGTATTAACACTGTTAGAACTACCTCCTCTCTGCCTGTATTAACACTGTTAGAACTACCTCCTCTCTGCCTGTATTAACACTGTTAGAACTACCTCCTCTCTGCCTGTATTAACACTGTTAGAACTACCTCCTCTCTGCCTGTATTAACACTGTTAGAACTACCTCCTCTCTGCCTGTATTAACACTGTTAGAACTACCTCCTCTCTGCCTGTATTAACACTGTTAGAACTACCTCCTCTCTGCCTGTATTAACACTGTTAGAACTACCTCCTCTCTGCCTGTATTAACACTGTTAGAACTACCTCCTCTCTGCCTGTATTAACACTGTTAGAACTACCTCCTCTCTGCCTGTATTAACACTGTTAGAACTACCTCCTCTCTGCCTGTATTAACACTGTTAGAACTACCTCCTCTCTGCCTGTATTAACACTGTTAGAACTACCTCCTCTCTGCCTGTATTAACACTGTTAGAACTACCTCCTCTCTGCCTGTATTAACACTGTTAGAACTACCTCCTCTCTGCCTGTATTAACACTGTTAGAACTACCTCCTCTCTGCCTGTATTAACACTGTTAGAACTACCTCCTCTCTGCCTGTATTAACACTGTTAGAACTACCTCCTCTCTGCCTGTATTAACACTGTTAGAACTACCTCCTCTCTGCCTGTATTAACACTGTTAGAACTACCTCCTCTCTGCCTGTATTAACACTGTTAGAACTACCTCCTCTCTGCCTGTATTAACACTGTTAGAACTACCTCCTCTCTGCCTGTATTAACACTGTTAGAACTACCTCCTCTCTGCCTGTATTAACACTGTTAGAACTACCTCCTCTCTGCCTGTATTAACACTGTTAGAACTACCTCCTCTCTGCCTGTATTAACACTGTTAGAACTACCTCCTCTCTGCCTGTATTAACACTGTTAGAACTACCTCCTCTCTGCCTGTATTAACACTGTTAGAACTACCTCCTCTCTGCCTGTATTAACACTGTTAGAACTACCTCCTCTCTGCCTGTATTAACACTGTTAGAACTACCTCCTCTCTGCCTGTATTAACACTGTTAGAACTACCTCCTCTCTGCCTGTATTAACACTGTTAGAACTACCTCCTCTCTGCCTGTATTAACACTGTTAGAACTACCTCCTCTCTGCCTGTATTAACACTGTTAGAACTACCTCCTCTCTGCCTGTATTAACACTGTTAGAACTACCTCCTCTCTGCCTGTATTAACACTGTTAGAACTACCTCCTCTCTGCCTGTATTAACACTGTTAGAACTACCTCCTCTCTGCCTGTATTAACACTGTAGGAACTACCTCCTCTCTGCCTGTATTAACACTGTTGGAACTACCTCCTCTCTGCCTGTATTAACACTGTTAGAACTACCTCCTCTCTGCCTGTATTAACACTGTTAGAACTACCTCCTCTCTGCCTGTATTAACACTGTTAGAACTACCTCCTCTCTGCCTGTATTAACACTGTTAGAACTACCTCCTCTCTGCCTGTATTAACACTGTTAGAACTACCTCCTCTCTGCCTGTATTAACACTGTTAGATCTACCTCCTCTCTGCCTGTATTAACACTGTTAGAACTACCTCCTCTCTGCCTGTATTAACACTGTTAGAACTACCTCCTCTCTGCCTGTATTAACACTGTTAGAACTACCTCCTCTCTGCCTGTATTAACACTGTTAGAACTACCTCCTCTCTGCCTGTATTAACACTGTTAGAACTACCTCCTCTCTGCCTGTATTAACACTGTTAGAACTACCTCCTCTCTGCCTGTATTAACACTGTTAGAACTACCTCCTCTCTGCCTGTATTAACACTGTTAGAACTACCTCCTCTCTGCCTGTATTAACACTGTTAGAACTACCTCCTCTCTGCCTGTATTAACACTGTTAGAACTACCTCCTCTCTGCCTGTATTAACACTGTTAGAACTACCTCCTCTCTGCCTGTATTAACACTGTTAGAACTACCTCCTCTCTGCCTGTATTAACACTGTTAGAACTACCTCCACTCTGCCTGTATTTATACTGTTAGAACTACCTCCTCTCTGCCTGAATTAACACTGTTAGAACTACCTCCACTCTGCCTGTATTAACACTGTAGGAACTACCTCCACTCTGCCTGTATTAACATTGTTAGAACTACCTCCACTCTTCCTGTATTAACACAGTTAGAACTACCACCTCTATGCCTGTATTAACACTGTTAGAACTACCTCCTCTCTGCCTGTATAAAAACATTTCGGAATTGTCATGTCCATTCGTTTCTCTATTGCTATCCGTTCCATTGTGTCTGTCTTGACACTCGTATTTTCTGATCTTTCCTCTATGCCGGTATTAACACTGTTATAACCACCTCCTCTCTGCCTGTATTAACACTGTTAGAACTACCTCCTCTCTGCCTGTATCAACACTGTTAGAACTACCTCCTCTCTGCCTGTATTAACACTGTAGGAACTACCTCCTCTCTGCCTGTATCAACACTGTAGGAACTACCTCCTCTCTGCCTGTATTAACACTGTAGGAACTACCTCCTCTCTGCCTGTATTAACACTGTAGGAACTACCTCCTCTCTGCCTGTATCAACACTGTAGGAACTACCTCCTCTCTGCCTGTATTAACACTGTAGGAACTAACTCCTCTCTGCCTGTATTAACACTGAAGGAACTACCTCCTCTCTGCCTATGTCAACACTGTAGGAACTACCTCCTCTCTGCCTGTATTAACACTGTAGGAACTACCTCCTCTCTGCCTATATCAACACTGTAGGAACTACCTCCTCTCTGCCTGTATTCACACTGTAGGAACTAACTCCTCTCTGCCTGTATTAACACTGAAGGAACTACCTCCTCTCTGCCTGAATTAACACCGTAGGAACTACCTCCTCTCTGCCTGTATTAACACTGTTAGAATTACCTCCACTCTTCCTGTATTAACACTGTAAGAACTACCTGCTCTCTGCCTGAATTAACACCGTAGGAACTACCTCCTCTCTGCCTGTATTAACACTGTAGGAACTACCTCCTCTCTGCCTGTTTTAATACCGTTAGAACGACCTCCTCTCTGCCTGTATTAACACTGTTAGAATTACCTCCTCTCTGCCTCTATTAAACCTGTAGGAACTACCTCCTCTC